CCTCGATCTGCATGACTAGCAGATGAATATTTTTTCTGACACTTCTGAAGCACTTCTGTTGAGCTCTTTGATACAACTATAAAAAGAGTGCTGTGTGTGTTCTGTTTATATTTTAACATAATCAGGTAATTATGTATAATTTCTCAAAGCAATATTAGCAGAGACTGTTTATATCACTGGCTTTCTTTGTAGAAGTCTTTATCCAACATTGCAGCACACATCTGTCTTACTGCAAGTACTTACTACATGGTTCTTTTTATTTCTCTGATATAGACCTCCAGAATGATCATTAAATAAACTAGTGACATTTTTATCCAAAAAGACCTAGAAATCTGCTCCTTAAATCTTTGTCTTTAATCTGATATATTATAAAGAAAAAACAAAGACAGAATTGTTGTTACACAATTCAAAACCAATTGAAAGCTGGATTATCTCCTAACTTGTAATATTTTCCCCCAGTGTAACTCTACTGACCAGACTAGTCAGTATTTTTTTATAATTAAATCTTAAGCTACCTAAAAGAGCATAATTTAACTGAACGATATTCACCTCCTAGCTAGTTATTTTGGCAAATGTAAACACACATTATCAAGCATTATGTTAGATATGCACACCTCTAATGAACCTAGTTGACTATTGGATGCTGTTCTTACCAATTGAAAGGGCAGAGAAAGTGAAATTCTGTGGCAGTAGAAAAACATGAGTTTCAGTAGTCAGAGCTCAGTGTTTCTTAGAACATATGAAACATGAACCCCCATTCAGAGCCCCTTTGTCCTGAAGCGTCTGACTGTTAACCACTGTTTATCTTTCTCACTCTTTCTTTTTTCTTATGCAGAGAGTGCAGCACCCCCACGAGTGCCCCTCTTGTGGGGGTTTCGGCTTCCTTCCATGCTCAGTGTGCCATGGGAGCAAGATGTCAGTGATTCGGAACTGTTTTACAGACTCTTTCAAAGCCCTCAAGTGTACTGCTTGCAATGAGAATGGGTTACAGCGCTGCAGGAGCTGTGCAAGCTAAGAACAGCATCTTCCAATATATAAAACCTCATTTTATGTTACTGCAGCAGTTTGTTATATGCTTTTTTAAAAAATGAACCTATTTACCAGATACTCAATAAAATTCATTTGTAATACAATTTTGTTGATTTGATTGCTGAAGCCATTTAATGCAGGCCTTTGCTCATATCCTGTACATCTCAGTAAGGAGAATGAATAGGCCATTGCTTTCTTTATTAGAAATTAGTGCTCATAAAAGCTACCAGATTGGCAGCCTTTGGATCTGAAGCCTTCTCTGTTACTAATGAATGTTAGTAGTAGAGTATGAATCGCCTCATACTGTCCACCCAAGTTTCAAGACCTGACTTGGAGATAACACCAGAACCTTTACCATCTTCATTTCTGTTCTCTGGGTGATGAGTCAAAGCAGTGGTTGTATGATGTGTACTGAATTAAGACCACCAAGTCATTTAATACAGCATTTCACAAAATAAAATGTAGCATTTCACAATAAAACAAAATCAGTTATGACTTTCATCACTACTACCCTCAGCCAAATTTTACCTAGTGACTGAATGATGAATACAAATATCCCTTAGCAGCCCCCTAACCTTTCAACTTCTTGGTACTTACAATGCCAAACTATTTTTAATAGGCTGTTGCATAAGTATTTGGCGTTTTAGATTTTACTTGTATTGATCATTACCTGTCATAAGAATGTACATGTCGCCTGCATACTAGAGTGGTAACATGGCATCACAAGATAGATTTGAAAACTGCAGAGGACTAAAAAAACAGGATGAGATTTTTACTTTCTTGGCTTAGTAACAAATAATCTTTTCCTTCCCAAAGGTCTTTTCTGATTGGATGGATAATAACATTGTATTCCATACCATATCCAAAATTCCAATAGTATATTCTGCAGTGCAGCATCAATTATCAAACTCTTTGAACTACAAGGACAACAGGAAAGAATTTGCAATGCCTTCTTTGTATTTTATATTACCACAAAGAGGCAGCCTCTGTTTGTGTCTAATGCAAAAGAACTGATTGGATTAATGGAAAATGGAATGGTGTTAGAGAATATGCTGATGCTTACAGTCCTGCCATTTCCAGTGAATGAAAACCTGCTCTTTTTGCATCCGATGCCAGAGTTGTTAATGCATCCAACAGATACGCTCTAAGCACACTCAGAATGAATGTCGTGATAAATACCATATAATTAAACTCTTTCCAAAAGAAAACTACTGCTAAAAGCAACAGAGATTTCCAGTTCATTTATGGAAATGAAAACCTAAAGCCTATCACTCATAAAAATGTAAGACATGGAGTAGAATGAGAAAAATAAATAATCCATCCTTCCACAGAAGTTATTGAAGATGGATTAAATATGGTCAAAACATATTTTACACAGCCTTTTTGGTTTAAAGAACCACACTTTTCACCAAAACAAATTATTCAAGTGATCTGGAGCAAGCAGTTGAAACTAGCTCTCTGGCTCCCTGAATCAATGCTACGGTAATCAGGAAACTAAGTCATATCTGCCAACATGCCTAACCGTTTTCCAAAAACCTTGGAAAGGTCTTGGTTTTGTTTTGCAACAGAATGGAAGTAATTTTAAAACCTTGACACAGAATTCTTGTTTTCTGAGCAGTCTTGGTACAGATATAAAAAGAGTCATAAAATAACCAAAAGGCCAGACAGTTGTCTTTGCGTGAGCCAAAGTAAATCACAGTAATATCAAAATATGAAACCACTGCTCAGATAATTATTATACTGCCACACCTTTAATGGAATTATAGTCATTGGCACCATCTGAGGATCTGCCACTAATGCTCTCCTGTATTAAGAAGCTATCCTCAAATGTCCTTAAACATATCTAATATAATTCCATTCTACTTTTATTAGAATACCCCTGTGTTATACAGTCCAGTTTCATTGCTTCCTTGTATGGTTTTGTAAGAGAAGCTTCACCAGATTTTGCTTGCCTAGAGTGAATGAGGAAATCAGAAGGCAAAGTGCTGGTAGCAAACAAAGTTTTAGAAGTTGTAAGAGTTTTATGGGGGAATAGAGAATACAGTGAAAACTTGAGATATACTAAGCTACAAAAATGAAATATTATTTAAAGCACTAGGAACTTTAAAAGCTGCAAAGGGGGCAGCAGGGCAGGCCCTATGAGGAGAGGCTACGGGACCTGAACCTGTTCAGCCTCCATAAGAGAAGGCCAAGGCGGAATGTAGTGGCCTGTTACAAACTAGTCAGAGGGGACCAGCAGGCATTGGGGGAGTCCCTGTTCCCCCGAGCACTACCAGGAGTGACTAGGAGTAACGGTCACAAGCTGGCAGAGGGTAGATTTAGGCTAGATATCAGGAGATGCTACTTTATGGTCAGGGCGGCTAGGGTCTGGAACCAACTTCCAAGAGAAAAGGTGCTGGCTCCTACCCTGGGGTCTTTAAGAGGAGGCTAGATGCACACCTTGCTGGGGTCGTTTGACCCCAGTACTCTTTCCTGCCATGGCAGGGGGTCAGACTTGATGATCTGCTCAGGTCCCTTCCGACCCTACAAACTATGAAACTATGAAATGAATTAGCATTACAACACAAGCCTTTCTTTGTGTTTTGAATTTTTAAGTGAAACTTCGGTGTGTTTTATCCATCTGCACTGACCTTCTAGCGGATCCACTAGAAAAATAAATTGAGAACAAAAGGAATACCAGTAGTTTTGCTATGCAGTATATTATTCCTTATTATTACTTGGTACAGTTACTGGGCCAGATCCTTGGCTAGCATCAATGAAGCCTATTACCACTGATCTCATTGGAATGATGATAGTTTAAATTAGCAACAGAAATATGAATAGTGGTTTACTGGCATGAAAGTAATGTACCCTTACCATGCATATTGTAGTCTGAGTTTAAGCTATATTTGTGTAAACATAGATAAAGAGCCTGATTCTCTTATGATTTACCTGCATTTTATAGTAGTATAATGCTATTTACTTAAAAGGAGTTGACATTATTCAATCCTGCTGGACATGAGAGGATAGTACGATCCACCAATCTGGTAGTTTAAACCACTGGAAAAGAAGGCTTTTATTGCCAAATGTGTTTAAATTAATCTGAAGGAATACAGAAAAGAAACAAACATGGACCAAATTGTATTTCTCCCCCTGAGTGTTTTAAATTGGAAAGAGGGATCAGGGGCTGTCTCCCTAACATGGCTCAGGTGTATAAGAACTACAAATGAATGCTTCAAACTTTACAAAATCATGTAACCCCTGTGCTGGACTCCCTGCCAAGTTATGCTTTCTGCTTCTGACAAGGCAAGTAGGGTTGCAGAACTCTTGTAATAATTATCATGTATGCCACTGGGTGAAAAAGCACGTTATACCTGACACTGGTATGCCACAGCCATAACACATTCATTGTGTGGCGTTCTTTTTCCATTTACTAATATTCATGCCACAGGCTTAATACGCTATAATCTGCTCTCTGACTTTCTAGGAGGATTGTCCATTCTGTTGCAAGGTCAGAAAGCTGGGCTTGCCTTTACTAAGAATAAGCAAAAGTATCCAATGCAGAGATCAATATAGTTGCAAAACTATGGATAAAATACTGTTTGCTGTGACAAAAATCAGGGCATTTAGAACATCAGGATGGCCGGGATAGAAATCAGAGCTTCCTGATCTAAAAGTAAAGACCCTACTATCTAATGGAGACATGTCTTTAGCTAAAAACAAGAAAGGGGCTATGACTTGCAGTAGAGAAGCTCCATTTCCAGAAGTGATATATATAACCATATGATTATGATAAGGCAGAGAGAATGCAGTTGCTGTGGAAGACAACAGAAAATACCAGACTGTCTTGCAAATGATTACGTCTAGCTAGCAGGGAATACTAGGCCTGGCTCTCAGAAATAGGAGGTGCTTGGGGACAGCAGCCAGAAAGACACATACGTAACAAAATGATCCTGCAGCAAGTTAAAAGTCTGCTAGAGCCTGGATAACAGCTGATTTCAGCCCTGTGCAAAGAGTTACAGCATAAAGTCCTTGCTGAAGTCCTGTTGACATAGTCCCAGAATGGAAGTGATTTAAGGTACATAGGTCTTGTGCTCTGGGGTGATTTTCACTCTGGATGAGGATGGAGTGCAAGTGAATCTTTTCCTTGGGAAAAAAGAGACTTCTATAATTCTAGCAAGATTTTTTTTTTACCTTTATTGTATGAGATTTTTGTTTTGTTTTTAATAACGAGCCGGTATTTATTAAGTAGTACATGTTTCATTTCTACTGTTTAATGATGTAGGGATTTTGCTTTTTGTTTAGTCCCATGTTCTTTAATAAACTTTTTGGATTTGTGGCTCTGAAGGGCTTGGTTTGTCTGAGGGGGTGAAAAGTCATG